GAAAGTAGGTCAAGGTCATTTTCATTTGCAAACTTTGTTGTGCTCAATACCTTTCAGTTCTTCTTCAGAAGTCGTTTGAGGTGTTTGACCACTGTGACCTTGAAAGAAGGCCAAGGTTAGTTTCTCTCGCAAACTTTGTCAGGCTTCAGCTGAAGAAGCTACCAGCGAAATTTGAAAATTCTTTACCTTTCAGTTCTTTCAAAGAAGTTGGTTGAAGTGTTTGACATATGTACCCCTGTGACCTTGACAGAAGATCCAGGTTATTTTCATTCGCAAAATTTATCAGGCTCATCATAGGAAGCTATAGCTATAGTTTTTTGACACATTTGACCCCTGTGACCTTGAAAGTGTGTCAAAGTCATTTTTGTTCTCAAAATTTGTCAGGCTCTTACCTATGAAGCTTTCAACCAAACATCATGACTCTAGGCCTGTCCATTATTCAGAATAAATGTTTGAAGTGTTTGACACATTTGACCCCTGTTGCCTTGAAAGCAGGTCAAGGTCATTTTCGTTTACAAACTTTGTTCGCATGGGCTCTTACCAACGAAGCTTTCAGACATATCATGACTCTAGGCCTGTCCATTCTTCAGAAGAAATTGTTTAAAGGAAAGAGGATGGACGGCGAAGGATGATGGACGGCGAAGGATGATGGACGGACAGATGCTGCGCCACAGCATAAGCTCACTAGCCCTTCAGAAAGAATTCAAAACGGAAATTTACCATTTTTTTTTAGCAAGATTTAACCTGGCAGTGGGAAAACTACTATCTGATTAGGATTATGATGTCCCTATCACATCATCTTTACAATTAACAATATTCTGGTACGTATTCCACAAGGTAACATTTAATCTTTCTTTCGGTTGAGCATACGCTATAACATTTAGCTTATTAAAGTTTTTTTCTCTAAACGTGTGAAACATGCTTTCAAATATTGACACCTTTGTTTTTATTATATTTAAGTTAAAAGTTTAAGTATGATTTCGGTAGCGTTTATAGGATCAACACAGGCGTACTCAATGCTCAATGACATCAAATACTCCATACATTTTGATATAAATGGTTCATTCTCCGTTAGACACTGATAACGTTAGGTAAAGCCTAAAGGGGAGATAAACAAAATGTTTTTCAACAGAAATGCATATCTGGTAAGTTATTGCGATTTTGTGTCAGAACGCCGTCCCCTTTTATAAATGGTATGATCCAAACCTATCAAGGATGTTCAAAAGTTTAACTCTAAAATATACGTGTGTTTACAGTGCGAGTTACTTAGGGCTGTCTACTTAGGGCTGTCTACTAACCAGTGACCCCGATGCCATCCTGAGGAAAGTCCTTAAAGTTACCGGAAGTACATATGAAACACTCTTTTGTTATAATCATTTTCATTGGTCAATATTTATCACCTATCCAATAAACACAGTTCTTGCAAATCGACGTTCCTTCCATCTTGCTTTCGTGTACAAAGTGCAGTTTCGTCTACACTGTTGTACGAAATAAGTGGCAATAACTAGTGCAGTTTGACCGTCCATACTTTATCATTTGCAACACAAAGATTGTAAGTAATATGATAAACTTCGTCATTTTAGTGAATGGGATTTACATGAGATGGGAAGCACAGGGTTCATTCGTAGAACTTACTCGAAACCGAAATCCGAAATGCTCGTTATACTTGTACCTTACAACTATTTCAATATCAATTACGTCATCGTACAATTTTATAAATGAGGAGAAATGAGTTTGTTGTGGTTGATTAACGTATGTCATATTCGGTTATATATAACAACGTAATTCTTGGTTTGGTTCAACAAGCATTTCTGTTGTACCAAGGCAGCTGGCCTAGCTACTCTGCCTACTGTACAGTGCAGTATTGTTACTTTTTCTGAATGCAGTAGTTACTGTCTAACCTAACATACGTTGGTAAAGAAACGACACGCCTCATTGGTTATTAAGAATATATATTAATTGGGCACAAGTACTTTAAAAAGCATGGCAAATATAATCAAGTGAGACATGCATGACTTGTGTTTGACAAGTTTGCTTTGTCAATTGACAGAACAGATGTAAATGTGCTAATCTGATTGTGTCAACTTACATCAAAATAAACCAACTTACAGCTAACAAAACTGATAGAATAGGTCTACCGGCTGCAGGATTCTAGAAAGAAGATATTGTTTTTTGTGGTTTTGGTGAGATGAGCTCAGGTGTCACAATCCACATGACAATTACATTACTGGTAATAAAGTAACCTAGCGTTAACAGTATGCAATAAATAAAAGTCGTTTTCTGGACTTGAAATGCATTTGTTACTCAAGTTTTTATTCAGAACATCTAAAATGAAAAAAAACCTCATAAATAGAGTGGTATTCTTTAGGTGAAACTTATTACTATTTGGTAATTGATTTGGTAAGAAAGTATTGATTAATGTATAAAATTATAAGGTTTTTGAAAATGTTATGTTAACGTACATACTCTCACAAAAGGGGGGGAAAATAATATATTTTCCGCTTTATTAAAGTGTGACGATGCAAGTCTCGGTGAAAAAAGAAAGTCAAACAATTGTTGATTGCCATTTCAAATTACATCAATTGTTATATCAAACACTTCAATTGTTTTTCTTTTCAGGCTATTCAAGAAAGATGTTTCTGTGGGACTGGTTTGCTGGAATATTAAATTATCTAGGTGAGTATAAACTTTTGTTTCATCCAACACTGACTAATGTAAAGAAATATACTGCATCCTGTCACTCACATGTGATGTTTGTTTCATTCTTGAATAGTGATAATGCTATTCCAACAGAGAAAAAAATACAAATATGTTTTCATGTGAATGAAAAGGAAACCATTTCTTTCATGTAGAATATATAGCTGGTACCAAATGTCTTTCAGGTACAGTACATAAGGAATTGCAATCAGGGTATAATTAACCAAGGTGATATAGCTATATATATAGGCTCCCTTATAGTGTAAGTATATATATATAGTAATTGGAGATACATTAAAGTAGGTAATTTTAATCAATTAAAAAATCTGTCACATTTTGATTATAACCTTAGTCAATTATATTCTATTAACTACAGAAAGCGAAAATACAACTAGATAAATGGGATTACACGTAAACTGTCATGAGGGTTTCTTACTAGTAATTCTGTTTTAGATTATTTGATGTTATATAATGCAATACTTTGTAAACAAATTGTGAAAGAAATTAAAACCTATGCATTATGAATTAAATCCTCAAATATTGAACTGAACAGCTTATTAGGTAAAAGGTTTTGTTGAATAAAATATTGAATTTCATACAATATTGTTTAAAGGATTTAATGGTGCAAACATGTATAGGACAATACACTCCGACACTATTGGAATATATATATTCCTTCATTTTTGGAATCTAAAGTTCTGTTTCTCACCTTCCAGGTTATTATTCATGCTTCTTAATGAATGCATATTTTTTTTTTAAATTAACCAAAAAATCTAAATGTATAACTTAAAACGGTGAGTAAAATGAGTTATACTTTCTGACATTGTTTGGTATTGATTGAAACAGTGAGACTATGAATTAAATATACGAATTATTAAAAGGTACACTACACCAAGATGTAGACCTTGCGGTACAAAATGAAATTTGCTGAAGTTTGTAACAATTATAGATTGTGTTTAAAAAACAAAAATAACCAAACTTTAAGAAAAGAAAATACTATATATATATATATGTATAGAGTACTAGTATATACACACATGACAATTGTGTAAAACTAGGATTCACAAGAAAGTCAGGAAAATTGCTGTTTCTTGGTCTGGATAATGCCGGGAAAACCACGCTTTTGAGCGTGCTCAAAGAAGGTCATTTAGTTCAGCCAGTCCCTACTCTCCACCCTAGTAAGTATGCAGCAACTGTGTGACCAGTCCAGCATCATGGCTCAGTGCATGGAGACCTTGTTTTTAACAATGTACAATGTCATGAAATTAGGCAACATATTTGAGAAATCATATTAAAGGACAACATTCTGATCACAATTAGTAATCTTAAAATTCTAAGAAGAGTTGGGTAAATTGTGAAAAGCTACCTGTATTGATGATAAAAGATTAGATTTACCTCCCAAATTTATATAAACCTATCATCAGCTTTACAGAACTATATTAGATTTGTTATGTTGATCTATTAGTTCATGGCATTGCACCTGTTTTATTCTCCAACAGCATGCTGTTGCTGTGTTTCACTGTCCTGTTAGTTGCTGTTTTTGTGTTAATATATTTGCATAATGAGAAAGTGCATGGTCTTTTGTCATTGTAGGTTTATATAAAAAGTCGGGTAAGCTTGTGTTCCTGGGACTTGATAATGCAGGAAAGACAACATTACTACACATGCTAAAAGATGACAGAATGGCCCAGCACGTTCCCACATTACACCCAAGTAAGCATGGCAGTGTCTTCATGGAACCAGTTGTATTGGACTGAAGTCAGTGTTATAGATACTGGCTGTCTCATAATATAAGATGGCTGTGCTCTTGTCCATCCTGGCCACACTTCCACAACAAATTTTTATTTTAGAATAAGTATTTTCAGTAGAAGATTTTCTGTTCATTTTCAACTAAACTTAAAAATTTCATTAGCAATATCAGCATCTTGATTGCGTGTACATACAGAAAGGTCAGTCACACAGCTAGGTTGTTTCACATGACTAGACATAATTTCACTTGCTCTCGGATCATTATGTACATGTATTTTATACACTAATTGTCTGCCAGATTGCAGTGTACCACTGATATATAACATCATCAGATATTTGTACAATATGTACTACTTTTGTGTAACATTTATTATTCAAAATGTATAGTACAATAGAATGATAGTACATGTACACATACTATACAACATTTATGTTAAAGGTTATGTTTTGTCTTTATCAAAACAATGTTTTCTTGTTTACATGCATGATCAAGAAACTTCAGCTTGATATCGGTTCTCTATATAGGTGTGTGTTTTAAATATCCTGAAATGCTTTGTCCCTACTGTCCCTGTTGATTTTTATGAAATCATTAATATGCATCATGATCAGTGAAATACTGACTTGCTCACCAACTTGCTTCCATTGTTGGTAACATATAACCTAGTCCGAATTATTCTGACGTTTTATCGACTTTTTTCATAT